CTTACAGTCTCTTTGATACTGGTATAGTCAATGTTTCTACTTCTTTGATTAGCTTCTCAAAGAAAATTTTTATTCCTCCACCAGTGTTCGGAATTGAAGGTGTCAGACTTCTACTTCCTCTATTTGAGTTGCTCAAATGTTTGCTAATTCAATTTTTTGTTCTCTTTCTATTCTAAATCTCTTTTCTTCCATTTGTATTCTTTTGATTTCATCTTTTGTTATTCTGTTCTTCAATGTAGTAATCAGAATTTCTTTCACCAAATCAGCATCTTCGATATATTCTTGCTATTCAGGAATTTGTGTTTCAGTTCTGCAAGTTTTAAATTTGTGGTTGTTTCTTCACTAGTTTCCTATAACACAGTTACCAAATCCTCTTTCTTCATGTTTCTAAACATTTTCTTTTCTTTTAAACTTATCCAACTTCAGAATTTAATAATTCTTGTGCTTCTTGTTCCGACTCAGAAATACGAACTTCTTCTAATGTGTGATCCTATTTCCATTTTCACTGCTCTGAGCTGTGGTTCGATCTTTAAAAGTGTGTTGTATTGGCTTTGTTGTTAAAAAGGCACCATTTGACAAAACAAAACGGAATATTTATAAAAAAAATATAAATAAAAATAAGAATATAAATAAAAATCAAAGCATATAATTTTACTGAGCAGAATATCACTCCAAAAACATACAGTTAATAATAAGTACCTGACTTTTCTGGGGCAAATATTAATTTCACTTAAATCTAGCAGCCTCTCAGGAGAAGAAGCAAAACACTGCAAGTGCACCTTTTTGATCAGCAAACAATCACCACATATTACAGGTACCGATTTAGTTCTTAAAAGTTATTTTGTCGCCTTTCATATGTGTGTCAGTGAGAAATAAAAGGCAATATTAAGCCTACTATAATTGCCTCTTATTGCATCTGCATGGATTCAAATATTACTGTGTATGGATCAACATTTATGCAAACAGCTGTTCTATATTATTAGCTGAAAAGGGATGTTAGTCCCAAATGGGATATTAGTCTCAAAACAGCATTTTGCGTTGATCACTGGGAATGGCATATCACTTTTCAAATTGTTGTCACCAAATGTTATCGCCATATATTATATTTAAAGAAATTAATAAAGAATCTGCATGAATGTATGCATGTTTCTCTCATTGTGAAAAAACAACAGTTCCTAGAGCTATCAAATTTTGAGTAACGCAGTCTTCCACCCAAACATGCGTACCTGATAGCCCAAATTTGGAATTTGTTTTATTATCTATTTTGTTTTCGTAAATTTTTAACTAATTTTTGATTAACAAACTCAATAATTTTGAAGTGAGCAATGGCAACACTGTACAGGAAAAAGCATTTTATCTCCAGCATGTTAGACTGTCTATAAGAAATTCTAAAGATATGCCATTTTTAAATATTTTGTAATTTTGCTGCTGAATCGCATTTTCTGTGGCATAAGTGCCAAGAATGTGATATTTAATAAATAAAGTAAACACACAAAACATTAATAAAAAGACAAAAAAAATGCTTTGTGTGTCATTGATATGATGATCTGACAGAAGACTGAAAAATAGAAAAATGTATGCCAACACTTAACATTGTATTCGGAATTCTAAATGTGTGTCGCTATGCCACTTTTAAAATTTTTGTAATTTTGCCATTGAATTGTGTGTGGCATAAGTGCAAAGAAAATAAGAAATTAAAGCTAAAAAGACAAAAAAGTGGGGTTAGTAAGAGTGTGTGTAACAGCAGACTGGTAGACTGTGAGCTTATTTAGAGCATAAAAAACATTAACAAACCCTTTGGGTGGCCGTTAAAATCTGAAACTTTTCAGATTTTATTATTATATGAAACTTAAAAAAAAAAAAAAAAAAAAAAAAAACTGTTACAAATTTTTCCAAAAAAACTAATAAATATAAATCAAACAAAATAACTTTAAAAGGTAATGAGATTATAGATAAAGATTGCTTTAAACACGCTTTCTCAAAGGAGGAAATGTGTTAAACATGCTTTCTCAAAGGAGAAAAATGTGTTAAGTTGTTAATAATTAAGTTAATATTTCTGAAATTGTTCAAGACACGGTAAAAATGGGGAGGGGGAATGTGATTTTTAAGAAAGGCAAATAATAAAAGTCAAACTGCCCTAATCTTTTAATTCTTAAATTATGCTTTTCAGATTGCGAAAATCTGTTTTTTAGTAATTTTGATTTCATTGATGATATTTTTAATTTTTTGAATTTATCCTTCATTTCAAGATATATTTCAACAGGCAAACTGTTTCAGTTGCTATTTTTAATAATATATTCATTGGTGTTACAGATGATTCTGTTATTGCAGTTAGCTTTGGAAATTCAATGAACAGGACTGAATTTGGTGCCTTTAGCCATGTACTTTTTTCTGCAATTACAAAATTACCTGTAACTATGTATTGGTGAAAAGGATCCAATTTTGAAAGTATGAAATGGAATTTTTTGTTATAGCTTGGTTGTGGTTCAGCAAATGATTACCAGTGGTTTTATTGTATCTAAAACAAGCAATTATTTTAATATCTGTAATAGAACGTTAATAGTAGCAAATGTGATGTAAACAAGTCTTTTATTGTTGATTTTGTCAAAAAATAGGAAGTGAACATGCCTTCCTGATCTTATGACAGTTTGTGTTTTTGAGAGTTTGGAAGCAGATTTATTTAGTTGAACTGTCCTTAAGTCTCTGTTTCATTTCAGTTGATGCAAATCGGAGTCCGAAAGCAAATAAGCTGGTTTTACATGGTCTATGGACACAGTAGATTTAAGGCCATTTATTTCATTTGTGAAAGTTTTGTCAGTTGAGAACCTTGTGCAGAGAGTATGGCTGGCAGAGCTTTGGAAACTTGAACTTTGGAAATTTTTTTTAAATCCCAAAATGGAGATTTTGTAATGGAATCAATTTCAGTTCTCAGAAGAGGGCCAGCAACGACATTTTTAGAACCTTGCATATGCCTAATGTCAGTAGAATATTGAGAAATAAAATCTAAATGTCATACTTGCCAAGGTGAACATTTGTGGGGTTTCTGCTTAAAAGCATACATTAACTGTTTCTGATCCATATAAATTTGAAAATTTCTGCCCTCTAGCACGTGTGGGGACTTCTTAATTGAAGAATAAATTGAAAATAATTCCATATCTTACAAGGACCATTTCTGTTGACTTTTGTTCAGTTTCATAGAGAAAAATGCTATGGACTCCCATGTTTGTTGAGACAACTGCATAAGAGTACCTCCTATTGTGACATCCGAAGTATCTACCCGGGTGCTTAACTGGGTTTCGGGAATAGGGTGTCTCAAAAGGGTAGCCTGAGCAATAGCATTTTTGGCAGCAATGAAGGTTTGTTCAGCATTCTCGTTCCAATTTAACAATGAGGATGAATCCTGCACATGAGAACTACTTTTCTTTTTATTGATATGCCCTACTAACTACTTAATTAAATGAGCAAGAATGTGTGCTGCTTTAGCTATATGAAACATCTGTAAAAGTTAAACGTGCCTAAACATCGGCAAAGCTGAGTAAGAGTGGTAGGTTGAGGGAAGTCTAATATACATTTGACTTTGTCAGGGAGAGGCTCAGTTCCGTTTTCACTTAGGTGAAAACATAAGAAATCAATAGATGTTTGACCAAAGGTGCCTTTTGAAACATTTATGCAAAGTTCGTATATGGTAAGCTTTAATCAGGTTGACAGGACTGAAAAATTTAGTACCATACAGTGCAGCAGTAAAATCAACTAAGCATGGAGTAAAGTATTTATCTTTTAAATCGTTTGGGCATTCAACACATGATAATCTCTTACAGGTCCCCATTCTAAAGTTCCTTTTTTTTTTAAACCAAGCGAATTGGGGATGCATAATTGCTTCTCGGAGGTCTCAAATACCCCAGTTACATCATCGTTCTAAATTCTTGTTTTCCTATATTTAAGCAACCACAGGTGGACCTATAGTTATGATGTAATGAACAGTGCTGTGTTTTATAGGCTGGTTAGGATATGATAATTTAGTATTAGAAAAGTACTCTTTTAAAATTTTCGTGATAAGATGCATCACTAAAAATAGTTTTACTGAATAAAAGTCTGCATTGGTGGTGGCTTTGAGGTTCGGATTTTAGATCATTCTGGATATTGGATGTCCAGATCTTGGATTTTTTACTGTAGTCATATAAACAATACTCTAAAAATGGGCAGTCCCTCATTTACCTACTCAGTTACATCCCACCAGTGGCCGAGTAGTAAAAGTCTCGATTATGGTAGTTCAGATGAGGTTCAAATCCTGTGAACTGGCTGGCTGCGTGGCCCTTTCCTTGATTTTCCCCATGTGTAATGTGTATATGAGCCAGTTCTCTTTGAAAGTCCTCCATGAAGGCATCTCTCCCCTTAGTCAGATAGCCCACGAGCTTTTGCAGTGATCTCATAAAACCAAAAACTTTGTGATTAACTCTGAAGATATGTATATATACACACACATTTGGTTCTGTGAATTGCAATAAAAAAGGGAAGTACATATCTAGGTGTTATAGCAGTCCCATATACAAAATTTGGAATTCTACTGCTAATCACTTTTGAATTATGCAAGATACATACACGCAGACGTACGAACATCAGAAAAAGCCCATTTTACAGTCTGGGAAAAAACAGTCCTTTATTCTCTTCACACAGATGGATTCAGGAATGCTCAAAATGAATATTTCTGTTGATACTTGAAATTTTTCCCAGTTGCAGTATTTCCTTTGCTTCATACAAAAAAGTAATAAATAATGCTCATTCATACTAATGAATTTAATATTTTATTAAAAAATTATGTACTGTACTTTTTTTATTATTCTTCAATCTTATCTTCATCAAGAAAGAAATCAAAAGCATGAAATAAATTATTGAGAAACTTAATTAGTTGGATAGAAGAGCAGACAATCTAGAAAATTGGAGTCTTTTGTTTATCTGTCATTTTTGGCTTTGCTGATTTATTATCTTTTCTCTAAACATAGCACTTGTCTCTGTATCTGAAGAAGTGCGTAGCAGGTGCCATTTGAAACACAGAATCACTCGAGTTGTGTCTGAGTCCCCAAGTGCAGAAGCATTTGTCACGGAACTCCATCCCGCTGTTTCTCCTCAAGTGTCGACGTCTCCAAGTAATCCCAGTCCTCCAACTCCATCCCCATCTTCTAATTCTGCACAGACTTCCCCTCATGGTCAGCCTTCTAATAATGGTATTCAGAGCACACTACCTGTAACTCCAGTAAATAGGAGGCATAAATCATGGGACACACTGGACCAGAATGCCTTGTTTCAAGCAAAGCAAAACAAACAGGTAAAGCTTATTATTTTTTCTTCCTCTTTCTTCACCTTCTCCAAAGGAAGATATAATTTCTCTAACAGAAAATACTGCAAAAAATTCCAAATAGAAAATTTCTCCGAAAATTGCTTCTTTTGATATAGAGTCATGAATCAATATCCACTGACTCTGTATTGCATAATTCTACTTTATGTGCAGTTAATTTTTGTATACATTTGTGCTCCTGCATGTACTGATTAAAAATCCCATGGATAAATGTGCTTTGTTTTAGTATGTAATTAAGTCCCTATACTTACTGGTTCTGTATACCATGATTTCAGTTATTTATAATTAACTTTTGATTTATGGTCTTGATCTGTGTCCATTAGTTATTATTTAATTGATTTAGTTGTCAGCAGTTAATGTATTTTTAGAAAAAGTTTTGCAATTAAAATGGTAAACAGTTCAGAAAATTAAAAAATGTATGCCAAACTAAGGTTTGACCAAAAACCATTGTGAACAGCATTCAAACACACTCAGTGTCTGCTTTCCACAACAGTTCAGATCATGAATGCGAATATATACACTGGTGTGCAAAAATTAAGGACGAGATGGTTTTTTTCAATATAACTTTGTACAAAAGCTTTCCAAATCAACACATTTAATACCGTAAGATCCCCACTACGTAAGGACATGAGTAATGTAAGCAACACTTACTAAAAGAGAAATCAGAGGGATAAAAAGAAGCTTTATTGAAAAAGTAGCATGGAGCGCAATGCGACTGAAGGCCGAAAATCATCCCTGTGATGGGTGTCCAGCAAGAAAACATCCGGTCTTTAATAAGGGATATGATCTCCCCTGACTGCTAGGCAGGTTTCACAGCGTCTGCCCATGCTGAGAATGAGGGTGTCAATGAGTTGTTGAGACATTGCTGCCCATTCGTCTTGCAGCGCTAATCGAAGCTCCGGAATCGTTACTGGTGGTAAGGTACAGCTGCCAAGCGTGCCTAGAAAATCCCACACATGCTCGTGGGATTGAGATCCGGAGATCGTACCGGCCAATCCATACGTCAATCCTCACTCTCTAAGAGCTGTTCGGCAGCTACTGTGCGATGACATGGGTGCATTGTCGTCCATGAAAAGGAACTGCGGACCCATAGCGCCTCTAAAAAGACGCATATATGGAAGAAGAATCTCGTTACAATAACGGGTCCCGTTGAATGAACCTGCGTCGAAGATGTGAAGGTCTGTACGACTACCAAGCATGATGCCTCCCCAACGAGAACACACGGCCACCTCCATACTGTCCCTTTCAATGATTTTCGAGGATGATTGCGGCTTCCCCCCGCTCTCTCCAGATGAGTATGCGATGAGAATCGCTACTCAGACTGAATCTGCTCTCATCTGTAAATAGTACTCGTCCCCATTCATTGTCTCTCCAATTCCAGTGTTCCCGGCACCACGGAGAACGTCTTCTCCGATGAGCAGGCATTAGAGGTACACACCATACAGGGCGTCGTGCAAACAGACCACCACCCTGCAGTCTTCTGGCCACAGTAAACGCGATATCGGTCGTCCAGTCGCCTGTGTCGTGTGTCTAGCGATTTCTCCCGCTGTCTGCCGCCGCTTCTTCTTCTGCCTGTAAGGCAATATACTGATCATCTGCGGGTGTGGTTCCTCGTGGACGTCCACTACTAAACCCCCGGAAGCTGTTCCTGTAGTTGAAATTGTCTCCAAAGTCGTGAAACGATGCTGTGAGCAATTCCGAACTCTGCAGCCACACTGTCATACTGCGGCCTTCCTCCAACTTCCCAATGATTCGACCTCGGGTAAAAGCATCCAGATGTCGTCTAACAGATTGATTATTCGCCATTTCTCGCTGAGCAGCAACCGGTGTGATTTTTAAATGCTATAAACGGCGTGCATCTCTTTGCCAGAAATACGATCTTACACCGACAACATGCTTTATACTACTCAGACACTCCTCCATTATGTCTACCTGCATATCTGCGCATGTGTTAGCATACATCACCTTACTTAATCTCCTGATTGGTCTTTCTGTCCGCTCTGCCTCTTCGTTCAGCTGATATGCTAATTTTTCGACTTCATCCTTAATTTTTGCACACCAGTGTATATGCACTGTGAACTGATATTTCTTTGCTTAACCCTTTGCGGCTCAGTGTTCTACTACATGGAACACCCAAATTGAATCGCTTCTGAAACCTTTAGATTCAACCGTAAATAGATAAAAATGCCTTTATAATATACTTTGAACTTTTCTTTTTAAACAGTAGATAGCAGCATATCACAAGGGACACAGAATTTTCATTTATTATGTGTTTTAAATCCACTTTTTTCAAGCAATTTTCTCTATTTTTTAATGATGTAAAAAATTTTATTTGGAAAAGAATTAGAGGCATAATTTTTCTGGCTGTACTCCAAATTATTTGTCTATATTTTTTAATCTTTCACAAAAACCATACGCAGATCATTGAATGAAACCGGGTTTCCATTAGCGGGAATACTGTGCCTTAAGCAATCTCATGCGTTACGAATCAGAACGTGCTTAGGAGAGAACATCCATTGTTTACGTTTTCTGTTTGGGGTGGATGAATTCAAACAAAGCAGTATTGAGGGGTGAGGTGTGTTTTCTGTTATGAAAGCCCTAATATTGGCATCTCGAATTTTTTAGGAGTTGTTTTTAGGCGGGAATTTTATTAGTAGCTTGACACATTTTTACTTAGACCTGCGCGAATTTTTTGCTGTCGCTTTTTAGTCTCATTCCCCTTTATTTTCATAATTGTGTAGGTATTTTGCGTATGTATATATTATAGGCTTATTTTTCTTTATTGTTAATATTAATCGTAGTTAATTTTTTTATTATTAATTTCCATAAATGGCGAGGAGAGGTCTATAACTCTTTCCGAAGCGCTAAAAGTGTTTCAGAATTCCCTCGGATTAACCCAAGATTTCCGTTTAAATTTGCTGTGCTCCCTCTGTGCCATGAAAGTCAGAGATGATTTTGAAGAGGCGACTTCCTTCAAGACCTGAAGATACTCCCAGGGCTTAAAGTAAAGGTTTCCGGGGGAAAACGCTACAGTAATGTTGAACACATACCAGTGAAGGATACGCGTAGACGATGTGCACATTGTAGCATTGTAGTAATATATTTAGTTTTCAGATGTATAATGTTAAAAGTCATAAAATGGTGAGTAATGAAAATAAAATGTGTAAAATATGCATTTAAAACAAGAAATAAGGTAATTAAATGTATATATAAAAATACCTATAAGCATAAGCCATTTAAATACTCTATAGAGCATTATTAAACAATGCGTTGATACTTCGGAAATTTCATGGATTTAGGCTTAATAGCAAAAAAGCCCCCCGGCCCTGGACAGACACTCACGTAAGACACTGCCGGCCTCCACGATAAGCGCGTGTTTGCGCTACCCGGCGCAAAGGGGTTAAGTGAATAATATAATTGCCTTTTTGAGTCACAATTTATGATGTCCCCCCCAAGAGCAAATATAACTTAGTATAGTTGCTCTAGCTTTCTTGAAACATGTTTACACTTTTCTGTCTCAAAATAATGCCAAATGGGAATTATAATGTAATTGAAAATCCTTATGTTTTATTGGTGAAACCTGACAAAGCTTAAAATTTAAAAAGATTGCAATAGTTCTTATGAATGCAACTTTTATGTGTGTGTGTCTGTATATATATATATATATATACAAGGTGTGGCTATTAATTTTCAGGACTGCTCTAATAACACCAGAACAGATGATGAGAAAAACTTAACCTTTTAATATGTTTCAAAGTAATCCCCATTGGCCATAACACACTTGTGCTCGGGTGTATAAGTTGTGGAAACAACTTGTAAAGTCCTCATTTGGAAGGCTCTTCAATGTCGATGTCACGTTCTTCTTGATGTCTTCAACATCCACAAAGCGTTTTCCTTTGATCATAGTTTTGAGTTTGGGAAATAAAAAGAAGTCTGCGGGGACTAAGTCAAGAGTGTATGACCGAACATTCCCAAACTCAAAACTGCGATCAAAGGAACACGCTTTGTGGATCTTGAAGACATCAAGAAGAATGTGACATCGACATAAAAGAGCATTCCAAAAGAGGACTTTAAAAGTTGTTTCCACAACTTATACACCTGAGCACAGAAGTGTATTACAGCAGAAGGGAATTACTTCAAAACATATTAAAAGGTTACATTTTTGGCATCATCTGTTCTGGTGTTATTAGAGCAGTCCTGGAAATTAATAGCCACACCTTGTATATACAGTTCAAAGTCTGAGATACAGACTCGTCGAGACTTCGGCGGTTCCGGATTTGGGATTTTTCCGTATATTAGATCACCAATTTACAATCAAACGAACTGTAAGATGGCATGTAGAAATTATAAAATTAAAAATATGAAATCGTGATTTATGAAATAATGAAGCATTTATGATCTAAAGGTTATCCAAATTTCCAAAAAAAAAAAAGCTTGATATTTATTTGTTTACTTTATTAAACATTTCTTTCAATGTAAGTTGTTTAAATTACTTTGTGTTTTGTGCTAATACTTTCTCTTTAATTCTATAAGCAGACATAATTTCTTGTTGAAAGTTCTACTCTTCAAGTCCTGTAATTGATGTGTCAAAAATTCTGACTAACTTGTCAACCAAAATCTTTTCATTTTTAATAACCTTTCTGTTACTCTGTTTCTTTCCAGCGGTATTTTCTGGATCTAGAACCATACTATAGATTTCACAGTCCGTTAATTGACTGAAGATTGGGGCATTGTCATCGCAATGAAAAGCTTCTGTTATATCATCTTCATTTATTACCGCTTCTCAACATTTCTTTAAACATTCCATTAATTGGGAAATTTTGGATTGTGATATCCAAAAACCTTCACATTCGTAGCTATCATATTCATCAACCTCACCATGAAATATGCTAGCTGGCCATAAATTATGCCAAGCATTTTTTAAAGTATCTGGAGACATTTCTTCCCACGATCTTGCGATGCTCCACAAA